ATTGTTATGTATAAATTCTAGTATATATAGATGATTTCAGTTTTTTGCTAGTTCATCTGCTATGTTGTTGAAAATGTTGTTGCTATGTGCAACTACTTTTTGGAAGTTAACTTCGATTTGGTAATTTTTAGTTAAATTTAGTAAGGTATGCCATATTGGCCAATAGTTGTAGAAATATCATTTGTTTGATGTTGGTGGTAATTTTAAGAGTTTGTTGTACTTAGATATTATTGATTGGAAGTTATGTAGATAATTAAAAGAGTTAAATTAAATAAAAAAATAAAATTAATATAATTAAAAAAGTTATAATTAAAAAAATATAAATAAAGACTAAAATAGGCCTTAAAAAAGATAGATAATGTTTTGTTTTGCTTAATTAAAAAAAACAAGTTCCAAATATATTATATTGTCTATAATAAAACCCTAATACTAATACAGTTATAAACTCTATAAATCCTAATAACCATCATTGTTTATTTAAGTTATTATTTATATGACTTATCTACTAACTTTTGTTAAATCAAAGTAACTAAAAGCCTTAATTACTTACTAGTCAAATTTAATACTCTTTTTCAAAAAGGTTACTTATTTTATATTATATAATAATTTGAATTATGAAATAACAAAGTCATAATCTTCTGAATCCAACAATGTCATATCAGTATAACTAAAAGATTATATAGCATTTATACAATAATTGCATCTTGTATAAAGGAACACAAACTAGTACTAAGTAGTATGAACCTGTAATAAACCTCTATAGCTATGTAAATTATAAAAACCAGAAAAATGAAAGCCTATTTGAAAGATCTAAATAGAAAGATAGTCTGAACTTTTAACAATGCTATTATAAAAACTAGATCTATAAAATAGAATAAAAATTTGTAAAACCAAATCAAAATATTTTTTTTAGAAAGAGGCTATTGTAATTATTCAAGCTACTAGGATTTGTTTTAAAAAAAAAGATTATATCAGAAAAATATATAAATTAAAGATATAGTTATATCTATTTTCTTAGATAATCTAGACTAGAAGCTTGATAGAACTTAAATTAAATACCAAAGTAATAAGAATATGTTGTGAAGTAAGTATTAAGATTAGGGTAAACTTTACAAAAACATAGTAATTTAATAGTACACCCTAATTGCAAATGTTAGTTTTAATTATAGCATTATTGAATTAGCTGTAAAAATAAAATACAGAAGATTTTAAAAGATTTAGTACAAAGTGAAAGATTTTTATATAAGTGAATTGCTTTAAAGACTTAGTAATTATAGCATATTTTTACTAGTATTGACTAAAATTGTTAATAAGTATAGATAAGTAAATTAATATAAAAACAAGAATATTTAAATAAAGAACTTATAATTAGATTTTAAATATAGCAACTAGTATAAAACCTTTGAACAAAGTATTTAAATTAGACAATAATTAAAATTATATAAGTAACTAGTTGTATACTTTTTTTATAGTTATATTTTGTAGTTGTAATACAACTATTAACTGAATGTATTATTAATAAAATTTTAAGTTGCAAGTACTTATTTTAATATTTAAAAAAAAATTAAAAATAAAAGAATTATAGTAAATATATTATAATAGAAAAATAATTAGCTTATTTTAGTTAATAATATTGTAAACAGATAAAATAAAGTTAGTTTAAAGTTAGTAATAACTAATTGTAATAATTAGTAAAAAGATTAATAAGTATGTTAATAATAAATAAAAAAAGTAAGAACCAAAAAAATAAGTATTAAAAAAAAATAAAGTTGACAAAGTTATATATTTTACTTATATATTATAAGAGTAATCAAATATTTTTGTGCTTGTAAGTAGTATCTTTAATATAATTATTAAGATATATATAAAAATTAAAATATAGTTGCCAAAAAAAGCAATATAGTTAAAGAGTAAAAAGATAAAATAAGAAAAAAATACAAAGTTAAATTAAGTAATAAAAATTATGTTATTAATTATCTAATTGTTTTTTATCAAAAATTTACTTTTTTTTTTTTTTAATATATAAATAATTAGGTTCTTTATATATAATTTTATCTTTATTTATTTTTCTTTTTTAAAAAATTATTAGATTTTTAACATATTTTTAAAATTTTTGATATATAGTTTATAAATATGTTTAATAGACTAATAGATCAAATAAAATTATAGGTCATATTATTACTTTTAATACATTATATTTTATAAAATATTTTAAAAAGCTTATTAATAATATTAAATTTAATGACTGTTATTTTAAACTATATATTTAGAATTATATATACTATAATATTAAGGTTTAAAAATAAATTTATTATATTTGAATTAAATATTTTTCTTATCAATTTACAAATTTATAAAAAATATTTAAATTATTTAGTTTTTAATTTATAACTTTTTTTATAGTATGCAAACTATATTTTGTCTATTAAGTAAAAATGTTCTTTATATTATTTTACATATAAGATAAAAATTTTTTAAAAATTAAAAAAATTTTTTTTTTTTATTAAGATGATCTCTTTGGTCTTTTAACTTTTATTAATTACTTATTGGTATTGTGGTTTAATGAACCACTACAGAAGAATATACAATTAGCTATATATATAACTTTTCTATATTACTTATTTAAGGAGTCTGCCTAAAGATTCTCTATCAATTATCATATCTAACACCCCTGTTTGGATGTTTTACTTTAAACCTTCTGAACCTGTAATCTGTGTTAACTCACTGGGTTATACTCAGATGCCCTGATCATTGTCTTAATCTTAGGACTAATTTATCTTTAAGATAAATCCTCCAGAGTCTTCTGTACCTATTTTTACAACTGATCTAGGTATCACTATGGTAAAACTAATACTTATAGTCAGAGCTTAACCATTAAACTGCTATGACCTTGTAGAGTTTACTTAGACTCCAGCATCTATTTTATACCATAACCCCAGTACTTTAGTGTACTACTGCCTTTTCATCTGGCTTTTTACCAAATTTCCAATTCAGATAGTCTGTGTAAGGCTACAACTAGTTCATCAATATATTAGGTCAATCTGATATACTTTTCCTTTAGTTTATTTCAATAGCCTAGTTAGTAATACTCCCAAGACTCCCAATTCAGAGGTTCTTATCCATTCAGCTACTATGACCAGGTATTACAACCTTAGTATTTGTTTCTTCAAGCTAGTCTTTACAGTAAAGCTGTCGAAGATTCAGCTACCTTTCTAATTAAGTTTTCTCAAATAAACTGCTTGTTACTCAATTTCAATAGATTTATATAACTACAAGGACTTATCTAATGTTTGCACTGCCTAATTTGTTAGTTTGCATTCTTCTGTATCATACTGTACTTACATAGATGCCCATAACCTACTAGTCATGCTGGTGTAACTGCCATTACAGGTATTCTAACCCAATTGTTAATAATAGTTACCATAATACGAATATTACATAGATGATTATTTAAATTTTTACTATTGATGGGATTTGAACACTTAACCTACTACTTGAAGAGTTGACAATCTGACTACTTTACTAGGTCACCACATCTTCTAAATAGATTTTAGATTTATTTTAATTTTATATATTTATATAAACACAAGAACTTATCTTGGATTTGTACTGTCTAGTACTGGTTTGCATTTCTCTATATAATTAAAATTACACAGATGCTCTATTTTAATTATAATTACAAGTATCTTAGTCCAACTGATCAATGAATGATGTTGCTATAACATGATATATTACATAGATGTTTGTTCAAATTTTCACTATTAGTGAGTTTTAAACTTACAATCTGTCACTTGAAAGATTGATAACTTATCTAGTTTACTAAGTTACTATACTTCATAATAATATTTATTAAATATTAATATAATTGATTTAGTAAGTAATTTTTTTTTTAATAGTTCAAAGTAAAAAATGATTGTTAAAAATATAAAATTCAATAAACACTATTTTAAACTATATATTAATTGCAGTAACCAAATTTTCATTAATAATAAATAAAAATTAAAATAAAATTAGAAAGAAAATACAATTGCACTAGAAAGCTTTGTAAATTTTATTTTTAATGCTTTTTTGAAAGATTATAACTCTGATTATTTAATTGGATAAAAAAAGGTTTTTATAATTTTGAATTTAGGACGCAACAACAAAAATAATGAACCCAAATAGTAACAAATAGCTTAGTAGTATTAATAAAAATTTTGTGCCATTGCATAAATTGGGGATTATAATCATTTTAAAAAACAATAGAATATTTCAAATACTTGAAAAAACCATAATCATAATACTTTTTGGTTGTAATAAATATTACATTTACTGAGTTATTCGAAATAAATAAAATGATTAATTTATTGCTTGAATGTTTAGTTAAGTTACGTGCGCGATATATTAGTCAAACCTTTTTTGTGGTAATTTTACCCCGGTCAAAGATTAGTAATTGGTACTTAACTAATTTAATTCTTCAATACAATAGGAAATACCACCAACTAGGAAATTTTAAATCATAATTTAAAATACTACCATTTAAAGAGTATCGTTATTTATTGAATTTTATTTAATGTGTCAAAAATGACACTCTATTTAAATCATGTGGAATGCTACGTGATGTCCCTAAAAGTTCGGTTCCCCGTGGACCACTTAACATCCCTACCAAAAACCTAACCCAACCTAAAATTTGGACCTTTATTTCTAACCATAATCTTATGATTCATGTAGTTTAGCGCACGTGCATTGTAACGCACCCACCTGATCAACCAATCAGATCGTAAGATCGGGTGTAACGTGAAATCGAAAGAAAAATAACGATTTGTCTAAAAATAATTTTGCTTATGAAACCACTTTTCGCGTTCTAATAAAAATGCATTAATTTGATTTCATGATATATCTAATCGTTTACAACGCATATGCGCAAAATGATAAAATTCCAAAATTATATCCTAAATTTGATAAAAAGAAATAAGAGGCAGTGGCATCACCACCGGCAATAAGTGCTAAAATCGGTTAGTTTAATCTTTTAAAGGGTCTAAGAATCTACTGTTTATGTAATTAACAGATTTTTCGTTCGATCCGTATTCAAGCTTTATCTTTTCCACTTCTTCTATTGTTTTAAATGTCGGTCCGCTAATTGGTAGGTTGCATAATTTGTCTTTCAGTATAAATATTTCGTCTGGAGAAATTTCTGGGGAGATTTGGATGTATTCTTTTATCTTCCTCACTTGGTTTTCGTGTTTTTCAATTTCTTTCTCGAGAAAATCGATATCTTTCTGAATCTCTTCACTCTCCTTATCGAATTTTTCGCGGTTGTTTTTATACTTTAGGAAATTATTATTTAGGGTACTAGCATCCTTCTCAAGTTTGTTTTTTGTACTTTGCAGACATTTTAGATATACATCATCGAAAGCAGCCAAAGTATTACGTATAAGAAATTCTGTAAATATCTTTTTAGCATGTTTCACTGTTTCATACTCTTCAACCATTTTTAATTCAGTATCACGATAAGATTTTTCAAGGTTCTCCTTAGTTTTAATAGAAACGCTATTGTTAATTATGTCCTCTTCTACTTCCTTGTTAATAACCCATTCAATTACTTCCTTTGTTTCGTAAGTTTCATAAATGTGATTCCGAGATGAGCAATAGCCATTGCACATTCTGCATATTGAAATAAGGTTGAATGCATTGCAAGGATAAACTATCGCTTTGCTACAACCCCAACAATTGCAGTTTTCATGACAAATCTGCGAATGTGTGGTGCATTTGACTCTAGGAGTTTTCAACTTTGATGTCACTAAATTAATTTTTTTCCTGCGCAATTCTTTTCTTAAATCCTCTGGGTTCTTGATTTTACCTATTCTATTAATTTCTTCTTTAAGATGGATCCTGTTTTTAGTTATGTTTTGTGGCATCAAAACCATGGGCATGGCAAGATTTGACACCATTACTCTAGCATTGTAAAGTGATTCAGAATCACTCATATTGCAAGGGGTAAGTGACCGAAGATATCTAAGTAGCCTTTGTGATTCATCTACAGACTTTTCCCAGCTAAATCCAATGGTCATTTCTATAAATTTATCGAATTTAATACCTTCCTTATGATTCACTATAAATGATAATGATTCGTTATCAAAACAGTATATAGTATTATCATCGGTCTTAAGCTCGACTTTGAGATCAGTTTTTATTAGCTTTTTCAAAATGGTTAATGTATCTCCTGGTTGAAAGTTTGATCCTTTAGTATGGGTAAAGCAGAATATAAAATTGTCCTTGACGCTTTTATGAAGCTGTGATAATAATGCTTTTACGCAGTACGTGAACCCATCAGTCAGTCGTGACTGGGTTGGCTTAAATAACATGCATATTCCATTTAAATATTGGAATTGATTAATATAGGCCAAAATATTTTCTAAATTTATCTTGTCTTGTTTAACTCCTTTAGTGTCTCCTATACCGGGTGTATCGATTAATCTTATGACTTTATCTCCAATACAGAACCTGTAGACTCTGCATCCTAGAGTTGATGAGTCTCCTTCAATTAAGGATTCGTTTTTGTCATTTCCACCCACAGTTACTTCGGTTAAATTATTATTTGTTCCTACTTTAACCCTGAATGGGATCAATATTTCCAAATCCCCGGATTTTGCCTCGTCTAAACTAGGAAATTTAAGATAGTTGGCGAACGCGTTTATAAATGTAGACTTTCCTACACCACTTTCACCGAGCAATAATATGTTTATTTCTTCCATGGTTAGTGCAAATGGAGGCAGAATATCTGAGTTTTTTAGGTGGAGTTAATAGTGCTTATATAGATGAGTGTTGCCAAGTGAAAATCAAGAATTTTATCTATATTCAGAGTTCCAGTTTTTGCTTTCGGTACATCGTACGTACATACCATACATAAATGCATTTGGCGTACGTACAGTAAATGAAACGCGTAATAGAGTTGATCTCGACTATTGTAGCCTGGTATTTGTTGGCACTTTTACAACGTACATATTTGTACATGTATTTATTCCGTAATTTGTTAATTTCAATAGTTCAGAAGGAAAGCATTTTTTTCTGATCAATCAATAATATATAGTTATCGGTCGCAATAACTATATATTATGCAAATTCAATTTCTATTCAATACAATATACCAAACTAAATTTATTACTTTCCATATACCTGCAGATCTGAACTTGGATAGATCTATTGAATGTTCTCTCTATTAATGGACCTATAGATCCGAAGAGTCCGAAACAAGTTCATTGAGATTACCATAACATAATTATGTTAAGATATAGTTCCGCATTGTAGGATTTAATTCTCCGATGCTGCTAAATACAGTAGATTAGGTAATTACTTATTACGTAAAAGGTTAAATCGCTCTATGCGACAATTTAGCATGTTATTAGTTGTAAGGATATACTATGAGTGAATTGTCGCATAACGTGATTTAATTTTTCCGAAATAAGTAATTACCTTACCAATCTCTACTGGTACAATGAGAATTGAATTCCGTACGTGCATAAATGCATTCAGGTGAATAATGAAAATGCATAAGGTGTACTAAATATAGAAAGAATTCACCTTTTTAAGATACTGCCCATATTTGGTAATATAAATGATGCATATGTATGTACAGTGCAAGAAGTCTGAAACTTTATATAGAGCAAAGGTCAATTAACACATGAAAGGTAACATATATATGTTATTTTTTATTTTTAGTATGCATAGAATAATTTCTAATAGGTGCATAACATTCTTGTTATATTATTTCTATGTAAAAAGGCTGTGAATCTTGTTATTTCATTTTATTGAAATTGTTAATTTAAGGAATTATCTTCATTTATGCATATCGATATCTTTATACAAAGGGATTGAGATTTTTAAACGTAAATATTAATAAATCAATTGTTATAATCGTGCGCATAATATCAAATCCTAAAATAGAATCATTGAAGTTACTGATGAAGAAATTAGATCTGTATATTTTTGTTTTATGATGACTTTAGATAAGCTGATATCTTTTTATGAAATATTTGATACAAGTTACCCTTGTTCGACTCAGGAAAAATTGCTCACGAAAAGCATAGGTACGACTGGTCATGTAACTGGACGAATGCCGGCTAGCCAAAGGTGCCGGAAATAAATTCAATTACATCCATTATCATTATTCCTGGGACACCTCATGGTTATTCTGCCAATTCGATAAATTATTGATTTCGGCATGATCAATGTAACGTTTATTATTTACAAATGTAGTCTAAAGCCTGGTACGTATGAAGGTGCTAATCGATTTGTAAATTCAAATTCACGTGAAACTAAAAGATCTCTACTTTCACGTCCTAATTAAAGTTCCATTTCTAATTTTAACTCAATACAAATACCAGTTAGACTTTTCTTCCATTAAAGTCTTAAGATATTTTTTATCATTCAGGTTTAATAGACGTGATTTCTTACAAATGGCAAAAGTCTTTCAACGCATCCATATATTTGAAGTTAGGGTTCAAAGTTAACAAATGAGTGACGAATTTTGAAATTAAATAAGAGTTTGAAAAATCTTAATTGTATTTCAAAATAGAAAATTGAAAAATGAAATGGAAGTGTCGAGAGATCCCCATTTAACGAAATAAATGGACTTTTCAACGACAAAAATCATCATTTCAAATTTATCGGAAAATGAAATAAAGTTGATACATCGCTCATTTGTAAATAAATACGTCATCTATTTCTGTCAAAATTAGATTCCTGCACGTTAATTTTGAAAACCCTTATTGGTTGAAATCTTGACTCATTGGAGATCTGCTAACACCTAAGTGTTTAGCAGTTATTCGAATTTATAACCCTTCTAAATTTTTTTCGATTGAACATGCTTCTAAAATATAATACTTAACTAGAGTTATATCGATATTCATTATCTGGTCATTATCGATTAATAATTGTCACCGCAAATCGATTAGCATCTACATATGTACCCGGTTTTAGACTATCTTAGTAAAAAATAAACATTATCATGCCGAAATCAATAACTTATCGAATCGGCAGAATAATCATTCGGTTAATTTTTCACAAGGTGTCCCAAGAATAATAATAACAGCTGTAAAGGACCTGAATACATTGTGAGTAATTTTAGCTAAGTAATTCGAACTGAAACGATGACATGCTCCCAGAAAATTAGTAAGTGAGATTGCGCCAGGTGCGCGGCTAACTAAGTAAATCAAAAAAAAACTATATGTAGTACTATATAAATTTTAAATATTGATTTTTTTTTGAATTTAGTGTTCAGAATACTGATTAAGACAGCAAGCAGATTTTTATATATTTTTTAATAGTAAAGAATGAATTGCATGTTTTTAGATGTCTAGAATCGCTTTACTTTTTTTAAATTATTTTAGTATAAATATATTCTCAAACATGTTTATAGCAATATTACGTTAAACAATTTCATGTTTTAGTACTAAATTTTTACCTGCTCTGAAAATATCTTTCCTTTGAATAGTATACGATATGAAAGCGAATTTTTGTAAAGAGTCAACTTTCATCGTAACTTTGTTATAATCGTGTTTGAAAATAGATTTGTGTTAAAATAATTGAAAAAAGTAAAGCGATTCACTCTAGACATCTAAAAATATGCAATTCATTCTTTACTATTAGAATATATATATAAATCTGATCTCTGTCTTAATCACCATTTTGATCACGATTTTTTTTTAAAAAAAATTCAATTAATTTTCATATGGTACTACATATAATTTTGATTTATATGGTTGATCACACAGGATGTTATACAAAATTTTAAAATATAAAACCACGTAATGTTTACACTCAAGCCTTGTCAAGTAATCTTGAAATATAATTTTGATGCCAATTTGTCATGATCAAGTTCAGTTGAAGTGACCATACTAGGAAAATCAAACATTAATTAGGGTCGCATATGATAAATTTTTTATAAAAATCAGTATTTACTGCGGATAATATCAACTTTGCTTTTCTCTTGAATTAGTATAATAATTAATGTCTAATTTTTTTTTTAAAAAAAAGATAAAGCAGATTGTATACTTTAATATAATCGAGCCATGTTTTCGATTTACGCTATTAATAGTATTTAATAGCGTAAATCAAAAAATGGCTCTATTACATTCAAACTATATAATTTGCTCTATCTTTTAGAAAAAATTAGACATTACTACTATACTAATATGATGATTATCCTAAAGTTCAGTGACTTACTGCCTAAATTTGGAGATCAATTTTAATTGGTTAAAAGGTATTAGAATTGGTAATGACTGATGAATTTATTTTCGAAATGATGAATAGTTTCTTCATGGTTTTGTCATGATGAAACCTTGGCGATTGACAAAATCTCTGACGATTAACGAAACCTTGACGATTAAACAAACCTTGACGATTAACAACCCTTGGGGTTTCCTCACAGTTCCTATTGGACGAGAAAAAATCTTACTTTTCGATCAAATAATGAAAATGTCGTTGAAACAGTATAAAGGTC